TGCAACATCATAAGGTCTTTAAGCTGATTACTGATCAAGCACATGAATATAGAAAAACAAACTCGAGATTGCAAGTAACTAAATTTTTGACTGGCTGGAAATACATGTCTTTGGGAGAATTCTGCATCAATTCTGCTATACTATACCTGCTATTGAATTCTCCTAGAAAATACTTCAGGAGTGAAAATGTCTTCTTGATTGTGCCTGCAACACATAGAGTCATAGATATATACAGCACGGAAACAGACCCTTCGGTCCAATATGTCCATGCCGACCAATTAACCTATATAAATCTAGTCCCATTTGCCAGCATTTGGCTCATATCCCTCTAAACCCTTCCAGATGCCTTTTAAATGTTGTGATCGTACCAGCCTCCACTACTTCCTCTGACAGTTTATTCCAAATATGCATCACCCTCTGTGTGAAAAAGTTGCCCCTTGGGTCCCTTTAAATCTTTCCCCTCTCACCTTCAACCGAGGTCCTCTCCTTTTGGAATCCCACCCCAGGGTAAAGACCTTGTCTATTTACCCTATCCATGCCCATCCTGATTTTAAAATCCTCTATAAGGTCACCCCTTAGCTTCCAACGCTCCAGGGAAAATAGCCTCAGCCTATTCAGCCTCCCCCTTAACTCAAACACTCCAACACTGGCAACATCCTTGTAAATCTTTTCTGAACACTTTCTAGTTTCACAACATCCTTCCTATAGACGGAGACCAGAATTGCATGCAGTATTCCAAAAGTGGCCGAACCAATGTCCTGTACAGCTGCAACATGACGTCCCAACTCCTGTACTCAATGCACTGACCAATAAAGGCAAGCATACCAAATGCTTTCTTCACTTTCCTATCTACTTGCGACTCCACTTTCAAGGAACTATGAACTTGCACTCCAAGGTCTCCTTGTTCAGCAACACTCCCTAGCACCTTACCATTACGTGTATAAGTCCTGCCCTAATTTGCCTTTCCAAAATGCAGCACCTCACATTTATCTAAATTAAACTCCACCTACCACTCGTCGGCCCATTGGCCCATCTGATCAAGATCTCGTTATACAATGAGGTAACCTTCTTCACTGTACGCTACACTTCCAATTTTGTGTTATCTGCAAACTTATGAACCATACCTACTAAGTTCACATTCAAATCATTTATGTAAATTATGAAAAGCAGTGGACCCAGCACCCCCTGTGCAATGTAACCTGTATGCCTCTGTCTAATTCTTTTTGATCTGTACATCCTTTGCTTACTATTATCTGCCTGTACCACTTGTAAACAAAGGTTTTTACTGTATTTTGATACACGTGACAATAAATTAATCAATCAATCAATCAATCAAACCACTGGTCACCAGCCTCCAGTCTGAAAAGCAACCCTCCACCACCACCCTCTGTCTTCTACCTTTGAGCCAGTTCTGTATCCAAATAGCTGGTTCTCCCTGTATTCTGTGTGATCTAATCTTGCTAACCAGTCTACCATGAGGAACCTTGTTGAATGCCTTACTGAAATCCATATAAATCACATCCACTGCTCTGCCCTCATCAATCCTCTTCATTATTTCTTCAAAAATCTTAATCAAGTTAGTGAGACACAATTTCCCATGTGCAAAGCCATGTTGACTATCTCTAATCAGTCCTTGCCTTCCCAAATACATGTAAGTTCTGTCCCTCAGGATTCCCTCCAACAACTTGCTCATCACCGATGTTGGGTTCAATAGTCCATTGTTCCCTAGACTTTTCGTTAGCACGTTTCTTAAATAGTGGCACAAGTTAGCCACTCTCCAGTCTTCTGGCACCTCACCTGTGGCTATGGATGATACAAAATATCACAGCAAGGGGCCCAGCAGTCTCTTCCGTCACTTCCCAGGGAGTTCTAGGGTATACCTGATCAGGTCCCAGGAATTTATCCACCTTTATGCATTTTAAGATGTTTAGCACCTCCTCCTCTGTAATATGGTCATTTTTAAAGATGTTGCTATTTATTTCCAACGTTCTCTATCTTCCATCTCCTTCTTTTCAGTAAACACTGATGCAAAGTACTCATTTAGTATCACCCCCATCTCCTGTGCTTCCACACATAGGCAGCCTTGCTGATCCTTAAGGGACCCTAGTTACTCTTTTGCCCCTAATGTATTTGTAGAATCCCTTTGGATTCTTCTTAACCCTATTTGCTAAAGATATTTCATGTCCCCTTTTTGCCCTCCTGATTTTCATCTTAAGTATCCTCCTATTGCCTTTATACACTTCTAAGGATTCACTCAATCCCTGCTGTCTATACCTGACACATGCTTCCTTCTTTTTCTTGACCAAAACCTCAGTTTCTCTAGTCATCCAGCACCTACACCTACCAACCTTGCCCTTCACTCTAACAGGAACATATTGTCTGTGGACTCTCGTTATCTCAGTTTTGAAGGCTTCTCATTTTGCAACCTTTACCTGCCCTCCGCACCCCCCCACCCCCCACCTCATCAACTTTTGAAAGTTCTTGCCTAATAAGTTAAAATTGGTGTCCCTCCAATTCAGGACTTCACCTTTTAGATCCGGGCTATCCGTTTCCATCACTATTATAAAACTAATAGAATTATGGTCACTGGCCCCAAAGTGTTCCCCCACTGACTCCTCAGTCACCTACCCTCTCTTATTTCCCAAGAGTAGATCAAGTTTTGCACCTTCTCTCGTAGGTACATCCACATACTGAATTAGAAAATTTTCTTGTACACACTTAACAAATTCCTCTCCATCCAAGCCCTTAACAATATGGCAGTCCCAGCCTATGTTTGGAAAATTAAAATTCCCTACCATAACCACCCTATTATTCTTACACATAACTGAGATCTCCTTACAAGTTTGTTTCTCAATTTCCTGCTGACCACTGGGAGGTCTATAGTACAATCCCATTAAGGAGATCATTCTTTTCTTATTTCTAGGTTTCATCCAAAAAACTTCCCTGGATGTATTCCCAGGGATATCCTCCCTAAGTACAGCCATATATTATCCTTAATCAAAAATGCCACTCCCCCTCCTCTCTTGCTCCCCTTTCTATCCTTCCTATAGCCTCTATACCCTGGAACATTTAGCTGCCAGTCCTGTCCATCCCTGAGCCACATCGCTGTAATTGCTACGATATCCCAGTCCCATGTTCCCAACCATGCCCTGAGTTTATTTGCCTTACCTGTTAGGCTCCTTGCTTTGAAATATATGCAGTTTAATTTATCGGTCCTACCTCATTCTCTGCATTGTTCCTGTCTGCCATGACTGTTTGACTTATTCATTTCCCAACTGTATCAGTCTCAGACTGCTCTCTTTCCTCAGGATTTCCCTGGATCCTGGTCCCACTGCATCCACCATCTGCAACCGCCACCCTACCAATCCCTTACAAGTTTAAATTCTCCTGAGCAGCTCTAGCAAATCTACCTGCCAGTGTATTAGTCCCCGTCCAATTCAGGTGCAATCCATCCTTCATATACAGGTCACCTCTACCGCACAAGAGATTCTAATGATCCAAAAATGTGAATCCTTCTCCCCTGCACCAGCTCCTCAACCACGCATTCACCTGCTCTATCTTCCTATTCCTACCCTCACTAGCTCGTGACATTGGGAGTAATCCAGATATTACTACCTTCAAGAACCTCCTTTTTAAATTCCTGCCTAACTTCCTATATTCTCTCAGAATCTCATCCTTATCTCTCCCGATGTCATTAGTTCCAACGTGTACAATGACCTCCTGCTGGTCCCTCTCGCCTTTGAGCATATTCTGCACCCTCTCCGAGATATCCTTGATCCTGGCACCAGGGAGGCAACAGACCATTCTGATGTCTTGCCGTTGGCTGCAGAAACGTCTGTCTATGCCCCTGACTAGAGAGACCCCTTTCACAATCGACCACTTGGAACCTGGTGTACCCCTCGGCACATTACAGCAAGTCTCAGTACCAGAAACCTGGCTGCCCTGGCTACATTCCCCTGAGAGTTCATCACCCCCGACATTTTCCAAACCAGCATAATTGTTTGTGATGGGGATAGCCACAGGAGACTCTGCACTACCTGCCTCCCTCTCCTACCCTTCCTGGACATCACCCATCTACCTAACTGTATCTTCAGTTTATTTCCCTTCCTGCAACTGTCATCTATCACACCTCCTAGCTCCTGTAAATTCCTCATTGCCTCTAACAGCCAGTCTAACCGATACATGCAATCCAATTGGATTCACAACCAAACACAGTTCCCGCAGTCATGCTCATCAGTAACATGGCAAATCTGTCTAATGTCCCACATCCAATAGGAAGAGCACATCACTCTACTAAAGGCCATCTTTGCAGCTTAACAATCTACAGACCCAGAAAATAGAACAGTCTTACTGCTGTAAAAACATTGCTCCAAATTAACTTAGTAGCTATGTTATATATTTCTAAAGTGTAATCAAGAGATCTCAATAAAAACATATAATAAAAAAAAACATTCTACTCACTATTGTAGATTTTCAAAAAAGAACTAACCACTTAGCTGCTCCCCTGCTGTGATCCCCCCACACAGGCTTCTCTAAGGTCAGCTATGAATTTTACTGTCTGTATGCTTTCTTTCAATAGAAGGCACACACATGAATTACTGTTTATTCATTGTTTATGACTTATAAATCTGCATTATTCTCTCAAACCCTATTTTCAATGTATATTTTGTTTTGTGTGTGAGTGAGTGGATTAGAGTTAGATTTTGAGAATGAACTCATGAATAAATAACTTTCTATATTTGAACTCACAAAAACTTGCTGTTGGGTTTTATAGATGAGCTCTGTATTCAAGAGTTAGGAATCACACACGTTCTCCTTGTCAAAAATGTACAGAATTCAGATAGTAAAAGACAGGGATAGGGGTTTTCAGTCCTCTTCTCATAACTGTCCAAAACCAAATTATTAATTCAGTGTCCTTTCATCACTCTACATCTTCATTGTAAGTTGCAATATTCACCAAATACGGTTCAATGATGAATTTTTTGTCTGTTTACTAACAGAACATTTGCCAGACTCTTTGGTGCTCTGTGAATGGTTCATGCCGCTCTAAGCTGGATGCTGCAGCTGACGGGACCAGTTGTGGAGAGAAGAAGGTATGTAAAGGGTCTCAGTTACAACAATTAAATCCTTCTGATAATTCACATGCAACATAATTTTCAACTGTTTCAGCCAAGAGGTGACTTCTTATTTACAATTTTCAATAATTTTTAGCTACCTGAAATGCATTTTTTTTTGGTTTTCCTCACCCTCTCTTCTGAAGGAGCTAGCTTGGGCTGGATTTGAGTTCCAAGGGTTCCTCATCCATGTGGCTACTTTGTCTTGACAAAGGGCATCAGTAGGCTTTTATGTTGTGGTTGGTTGGCTCGCCGAGCTGGTTCATTGTTCTGCAGACATTTCATTACCCTGCTGGGTAACATTATCAGTGCAGCCTCCGATGAAGGCTTTTATATTGTGAGAGATGTAGATATGTGATTGATAGCCATGCAGACATTTTGTGGCATGAATCATTGGACAACAAACAAATGCAGACTTTAAGTGAGATGAGCCATAATTGGTAAGGTGACAAGAAGAGAGCGAGTGTCTCGCCAGTGCCAATTCACCCTTTCTCACCACCTCCAGTAATGGGAAGAATGCACCTGATGGGCCGAATGGCTTAATTGTGCAATGCAACAATTCTATGATTTTATAATTGCCTGAGATCCCCTCATAAATTTCCTATGATATGTTAGCTGCAGAGAAAATAAAAGACAATCAAAAGCCAGGGGATCAAAGGAAATACAATATGCAATAGATTTACTGGTATTTCAAAACGGTTTCTTTTTGTGTTGTAACAAAGCAGCAACGATGAAGAGACTGGTCACAACATAGTTAGCCAATAATTAATTTTCATCTCTTTGGTGTTATTTGAAAACTAGAGCATATTTCACTGACAGAGAATTGGCATTGTTCCATTTTATTAGCTCTCATTCCTTTTGTAATAACCAACTGGGATTGAATTTTCCTATGAAAATCAAGTTCTGCATTCAGTTTCAGTCAAATTGAATGGCAATTTGTTCATGGAATACCAACAAAATAATTGTACTAAACCTTTAATTATTAGCAATTATTATTGAATTATCTACTTGTTCTACTTCTTTGTGTTGAATTCAATTTTACTGAATCTTGTTTCCAGTTGGAAACTATTAAGTTTAAATTTCTTTTTTGTGGTTAACATGGGGAGCTGTACTGATCTTATTTGAAGGCATAGAACAGGAATAGACCAGTATGTTCCTTTTGCATGCTCCATCATTCGATAAGATCGTGGCTGATTTGATTGGGACTTTATTTCCAATTTTGTGTCTACCCCGTCTACCCTTTCATTCCCTTGTTAATTGACAATCTAACTCAGGCTTAAAACTATTCAATGATCCTGCCTCCCCTGTATCTGGAGAAATAAATTCCACAGACAAATGACTGTCTAAGAGAAATTCTCCCAATCTCTGTTCAAATTGAGTAATGTTTTATTTTTAAACTGTCACCATTTTGTTCTCGTCTGTCCTACAAGAGCAAACTTCCTCTGAACATCCAACTTGTCACATCTCTTTAGAAGCTTTTATCCTTTCAGCAAGTTCACTGCACATGCTTTTAAACTCCAACAGATGCAGGCTTAACCTGTCCAACTTTTCATTATAGAGAACACCCTCATCCCAAGAATCAGTTGAGTGAACCTTCTATGATGTTCTGTGCACGGTTATAGTACTAAAACATGAGAGAAACAGAAGAAGCAGACTTTATGTTGAGGCTGGGCGAGGTCACTTCACACTGTGCACTATTAGAAAGGCTTGTTTCCCACATGGGAATTTGGTGATTGGTGTGACAGAATGCATTTTAGGAAGTAAGAAATGACATAGCAAGGTGTGGGTTATCTTTGACAGGTCATGGGAGTAGAGTTTCCAGAATACACTTCTCTACCAGAAGTTACAATGATCCAAACAGCTGCCTGCATGGGTCTTACAATTATAACTCAGGAAGATTTTCCACAGGCATGACTCTTTGTTAAGTAGTCAATTGATCACCACTTAAGGTTCTCCTTCCACTAGCACTTATATCAGTGAGTGAGGGCACCCACACAATGTGGCATAACCACCAGGTCAACCTTAGTATCCTGACTGTAGATTAGCCCAAGTCACCAACATCCAACTACTGCTCTGAACTCATGAGGAGAAATTCTAAGGATTTATGGAGGACACTTAGGGATTACTAAGTACAGAGCATGTGTACAACAGTCTATACGATGGCTAGGTATTTGAAGAGAATAGCATGTGACCCAGACAAGCGCATGTGCAAGAAATGTCACTGGTTGCAGAAACTTGGTTTCAGTACTTGGACTGTGACAGGAGTCATGTGGTACCTCACGAGTCAGATTGTATGCAAATAGCATGCTCTGGGAGGTGGTCATACTGCAGAATAAAGGCATTCAAGCAGATTCAGAAATTGGTAATCATCGGACGACCCAGGAGAACCAGGCAGCTAGTGTAAGAGTCTCCCAAGGCTATTTGCTCACTAAATGGTTTTCTATTCTGGACACTGGTGAGGGAACTAGTTCTTCAGAAAAGTGAAGCAATAGCCAAGACCATGGCACAGCAGGTGGCTTGGATGTACTGAAGGAAGTAAGAAGAGTGGAAGAACAATATAGATAGGGGATTCATTAGTTTGGGAAACCGACAGGCCTTTCTTCTGCTTTAGATGTTACTCCAGGATGGTTTGTTGGTTCTTTGGTGCCAGGGTCGAGGATGTCACAGACTAGCTGCCAAACATTCTTCAGGGAGAGAGTGATCAGCCAGAAGTCGTGATTGACATTCATACCAAGGCTGTGAGTAGGAAGTTGCAGGCAGAATTTAGGGAGCTAGGAAAAAAACCAGGAAGTAGGACCTCTAAAATAGTAATCTCTGGATTATCCCAATGCCATGCACAAATGAGCAAATAAAAATAAGGGATATAACAGTTCAAATATGTGGCTGAAAGGATGGTGCAGGAGGCAAGATTCCTGGGACACTGGGACTGGCTTCAGGTAGTTGGCATCTATAAGAACTGGATGGGTTACAGCTGTACCGGATCAAGACTGAGCTCCTTAGCTGGGCATTTTTCTTGTGCTGTTGCAGAGGGCTTAATCTAAATAGGAGGGGGCTTGAGAACCAGCAGAATATATCAGAGAGATACCTACATTCCACAAAAACAGACCATACTATCAAGCAATTAATTAACAAATAGTAAGTTGATAGTGGATTTGGAATAATGGAATAATTAAAGCATTGCAAACCATGGTTGTTTTGTGAGTGCAAGAAGCAAAATGAATGAAATTGACCAATTACAGGCAGAGATCACATGGAATACAGGGAGAACTAGCCAGTTTGATACAGAACTGGCTCAAACATAGGAGGTAGAGGGTGCTGGTGGAAGGTTGCTTTTTAGACTGGAGGCCTGTGAACAGCAGTGTACCACAAATATCAGTGCAGGGTCTGCTGCTTTTTGTCATTTATAAAAATGGTTTGGATGTGAATATAGGAAGTATGGTTCGTAAGTTTGCAGCTGACACCAAAATTGGAGGTGTAGTGGACAGCAAAGAAGGTTGTGTCAGAGTACAATGGGACCTTGATCAGACGGGCCAATGGACCAAGAAGTGGCAGATGGAGTTTAATTAAGATAAATGTGAGATGCTGCATTTTGGAAAGGCAATCAGGGCAGGACTTATACACTTAATGGTAAGTGGAGAGTGTTGCCAAACAAAGAGACCTTTGGAGTGCTGGTTCATAATTCCTTGAAAGTGGAGTCGCAGGTAGACAGGAGAATGAAGAAGACATTTTATATGCTTGCCTTTATTGGTCAGTGCATTGAGTGTAGGAGTTAGGATATCATGTTGTGGCTGTACAGGACAATGGAAAGGCCACTTCTGGAATACTGCTTTCAATGTTACACCCTGCTATATGAAAGATGTGAAAGACTTTTTACCAGGGTAATGGAGTGCAAAACTAGAGGGCATAGGTTTAAGGTGACAGGGGAAAAATTTAAAAAGGAAAGGCCAACTTTTTTATGCAGAAGATGGTGTGTGTATGGAATGAACTCCCAGAGGAAGTGATTCAGGCTGGTGCAATTACAACATTTAAAAGGCAACTGGATGGGTATATGTATAAGAAGGGATTAGAGGAATATGAGCCAAATACTCGAAAATGGGTTTAGATTAATTTAGGATATCTGATTGGCAGTTGCACCAAAGGGTCTGTTTCTGTGCTGTACATCTCTATGACTCTATGAGATAGCTATCTAGAAGTATGATGTTGTGGCTATAACAGAAACACGGCCCAAGGGAGTGCAGGGGTGGTTATTAATAATCCTGGATACAAGATCATAGAATCCCTACAGTGTGGAAGCAGGCCATTCAGTCCATTGAGCCCAAAGCAATCCTCTGAAGAGCAGTCCACCCAGACCCAACTGCCCCCAACCCTGCCATTCCCATGATTGATCCACCTAACTTACACATCCTTTCTCACTATTGCCAATGTAACATGGCCAATCTATCTAACCCACACATCTTCGGATTGTGGGAAGAAACCAGATCACCCAGAGAAAGCCTACAAAGACACAGGGAGAACATACAGGCTCCACACAGGCAAGTCACCTGAGGATGGAATTGAACCTGGGTCCCTGGCACTTTGAAGCAGCAGTGCCAATGACTAAGCCACCGTGCCACCTGGATGTTCAGGCAAAATGGGAAAGGGAGAGTAGGAAGAGGCTGGCAGTATTAGCTAAGGACAGCACTGAAGTACTGGAGAAAGAAAATATCTGAAAGGATTCAAAGATAGAATCCATTTGTCGAGTGCTAAGTAACAAAAAAGATGTAACTACATTGCTCAGTGTGGACTGGAGACCATCAACAAATAAGAAGGATATAGAGGATCAAGTTTGTAACCAAATTACTGAGATCTTCTTAAATTATAGAATAGTTTTAATGGTGGGTTCTCCAAATGTAGACCAAGGTAGAAGTGTTGTAAAGGGAGAATTTTCAACAGACATATGTGTCCAGTCCAATGAAAAGGGAGGTGCTGTTACAGCTGGC